GACAGTCCAGAAAACCTTTCCCATCCTGCGACACCTCTGGAGGTTGGAGCCACTCACACAGCAGAGCCGTAGGGTGTGGAGACCTCCACACCATCATACTTCATCCTTGTTGTCTGTCATAAGCAGTGAGCCACGGCCAGCCAGGCCTCCGCTCTCTACCAGCCCAAGTCAATATGGCCAGCTGATCCTCACTAGGCTCTGCCATACGTGTTGTTAGTTACCTTTGAAAAGCACACAGGTGACACACCAGTGACACCACTGAAAGTCCTCTGATTTAGTCCGTCTCTCTGTAAAGTTGTAGGAATTCACTCGTTGTAAGGTGAAGCTTAATGTTATGTTTAAATTAAACAGCTCCGCTATCGTTTCTACACTGTTGCGCAAGCTCTTTCCTTAAGGCTGCATTAACGATTATGGCCACTAGGGGCCAGAAATGTCCTACAGAAGAAGAAGCTTTATTTTATAGTGACACGTACAACGAAATTTTGTCTGGAGCCGAGGGACCCAGGCCACTGCGTGCCTATGCGTCACCATCACAGGGGTTTGTGTCTCGCCCAAGGACACTTCAACATGTGGAGTGCAGGCACTGAGATTTGAACCTTCAACCTTCTGGTTGGGAGACAACTGTACTACCCACCACACCACTGTTGGGACAACATTATCATCCTGTTGGAGCTGTGTTTGTGTCCACATGTTGAATATACAGTAACACCAAGAGTCCCTCTCTTTTTGCTCTGTTTTGCTCTCCACCAGCTCCTGAGAAAAACCTGGTACTTAAGCCCCTAGACAGCGCATTGCGTTGACCTGCTAGTTGCTAACATTATGTCTCCCATTTAGTGCTGGACAGATCATGTACAGTGGGTTTGTCAGGGGCTGATTGATTCCTAACTCTACAGGTAAGGTGTAAAACTGAAATCACTGACAGGCTGAGAAGCTGCTTAGAGTTGGAGACTTTTCACATCTCACGTGTTCATTTAATAGAGCTTTAAAGTGTGTAGTCTTATTTTCAGCCTTAAGTTGAGCTATTTGACTCATCCATCACAATCAGGATGTGTTTCCTGGCATCGAGGCATCCACAAGCTTTCCTGTTCTCCATGGCTGAGAATACAGTGACTCACAGACTCACACAGGAAATGACTTGAAGTCCAAGGCAGAGGAACTAACTATGGCTAGTGGGTTCTTCAGCATGTGTCCTGTGCTAAGCTTCAGTGGTGCTACATGTATAGTCCCTGCTAAATGGAGTCTTCATTACTGCCGGTAGAAGTGTTGATTCTCCAGGTCAAACTGTGTGCACTGCTTACTGCCAAAGTCCTTAAGCCTCATCGAAGATTTAATATAATCAGTAGGAAATAACAGAGAGAAAATATTTATTTTGAAAATATATCTCGAAAAGAAATGTCTGGTATTTTGAATACCCACACATCAGATATTTAATTATACCGTTGTATATTTTTTGTGAAATCGTGTCATGATGTGGGAAAATTGGAAAGCTACCCTGTCATTTTATCACTGAACTAAGAGTTGGGGCATTTTACATTCAACGTGCTTTTATTGTGGAGAGCAGTTATGTAGCAGGTGTGTGTGTGTGTGTGTGTGTGTGTGTGTTTGTGGATGGGGAGTAGGTTGAACCCATTCTTTGTAAGTACTTTAGATAGTCGAGTACCCTGACGTGCAATCCCGTCTTCGTTCAATGGGATCTCGTGTTTCATTGTAATGTACTGTAGAGGTGCAACACAACAGTGAGTTAGTGAAACTCTGACCTGAGATGAATCCCAGTTCCCCTGACTGCTTCCACGTTTCCCTCACTTGTCTTTTCCTTGCATTTCAGTCCCACCCACATAAAAAAAACTTCAAGGAGAGAGGGACCAAGGAAACTGACATTAAATGTCTTTTCCTCTGATCCTTATGTGAAGCATACAATTACAACAGGATTTTCAATAAAGGGGTGTGTCGATTCGTTTCAGATGTCTGTGAAGGATGCACTTGTGTATCCTTGGCTATAGGGCCTCCAGGCAGCCTCCTTGGTCCTTGTGCCTCAAAGCAGGAAAAAGAGCTGTGAGACATCTTTTATCATCGTAGACTGGAATGACTTCTGGGTCGGGAAAGGATCAAGGGACAATAAAATAAGGGAAGTGGGATTCACCTATAGTGTCCTGTCTGTGTGTACAGGGAAAAAAATGACACCAATCTGACTGTGTGTCATCTACTTGAGCTCAGGCCACTTGGTTTTAGTGCAGCAAGAGCTGTTAAAGGGACAGTTCACCCAATTCTAGGCCACTGTCCCCATCATGATGGATAACTGAGATCTGAACAGTTTCCTTTAAAATGAATATACTTTATATATAAGAGTAACGTAACACCAAGCTGTCAGTTTGTGTTTTGTTCCTTTTGAGTGAAGAGGAAATTGCAACTTTCCTCAGAGTAATACAAGAAATGTGACCTGCCCCCCACAGTTTTTAATTATTGATGTTTGACTCTTTTTTTTAATTAGCTCATCCTGTTGTGCCATCATCTTCTGTTTTAATGGTCCAGTTGGATACTTGGTACCACCAGCTGTGAGCCAGCTCCTCATATTTGCATAGCACTCAGCATCACTGATGAGTAGGTTTGGGGGCGGTCTGGTCACAACTGAGTTGCGTTGTACCCATGACCACGCCCGGCAGTGATGTCATGGAGGACACCTAAAGAAACGTTTAAACCATCAGAGGTCAGAAAAAATAAGGGAAAGTCAAGTAAAATAATTTACTGACTTGGCTCTTTATTGTCTTTACTTGTTCTGGGAGACTTGTTTAGAAATAGCCCCTGTTTTGTTCTGTGGGTTATTCAGAAAAACAGGGCCACCATTTAAGTAAAGACTTTTTTTCTGTTTAGCTTTTTAAGCCATGAGCACCATAAACCAGATCCCATTCACCTCCTTTGTATTTTGATGGAGACAGATCCTTTAGAAATGGATAGATAACGCAGAACCTAGACCCATAAAACCAGAGGTGAGAAAATGTTTTCTCGTTACTTAGGTGAACTGCCCCTTTAAAACCGGCTCAAAGAACGGCTGTGAACTGAAGCACTGTCTAATTTTAAGTCTGATAATTGAACCTGTTTTCTCCACAGCTGCACCAAGTGTAGGTGTTTGTTCTGATGTCTATCCAGAATAATCCTGTTTGTGCAGTAATCCTTTGGTTTTGGGAAGTTTATGACATAAAACGTCCGCCTTCATATTCTGCTATTGTTACAAAATACAGCTGTTAGAATCCACCTTCGTTTTGTGGGTCTGCTTTGTTGTTTGGTTTAGTGTTACAGGTTCTGTCCAAAATGAATACTTGAACAGTTTTATTTTATAGAAATTAATAAAAATTCTGCATGATTACAAAAAAAAAATCATATTAACATTGAAGATCTGGAAAAACATCCTGTAGCTGCAGTTTTTGTAAAGCAGCAGAGTTTTGTCTCTTCAGGCTGCATAGAGCCATGCAGACTGTGAGGTGGGGTTGGAACCAGTGGCCTATAAATATAAACATTACATCCCAAATGAGTTTAACCAAGAGCTAGAACTAAGAACTTTCAGCAGATGTTTAAATAAAGACAGGAAGGGGGATTTTTTTTTTCTTCAATGAATGATGTTTTTATTGGTCGTCACCACACTGCCCTCCTGTCAACAATAACTCTGTTTTCTGTTTTGACCTTTTTAAGCATGTAAAGAGAGATAAAGAGAATATTGCACTTCAAACGAGATGAAAGTGGAACCATGAAGCAGAAAGAAGGAGAAAACAATCGTGAGGCTTTCTTTACAGCACAGCACAGCCAGGTTACATGTGCCTCCTCGGTACTGCACAGCTTAGCTTCTTAAATATACATCTTTTAAAATAGCACTCTTATATTAGGTCATTTTTTTCTTCAGCTAATACAATACAGGAAATCTCAAAAGGAACACATGCACATACAAGCAGGGCTCAGTGGAAACCAACAGTTTTCATTGTTTCACGGTTGTTGAGTCTGAATGCCACAGATATTAGGTTTTCTTTCTTTTCTTTTTGCACAATATGAAAATGCAGCAGTTATGTGAGTGCATTCAGCTTTGTCTGGAAAAACTGAATAATGTGAAACTGGCTAGAAAAAAATGTATTGACACGAATGAAGTCCTTCAAGTCTGGCAGCAGGGTTGTTTGTGAGTGCTCTGCACATAATGTTGGTATTGTTATTATTAGCCTTTATGGTGATGCAGACTCTGCTGCCATTGGTGTTAACAGGAAAACACTGATGCCACAGTTTAACCCAGTGTTACCAAACAAGCTGATAACTGATCTTTTTAAATCCTAGGAATTAGGAACTTAAACTGAATTTCAGTGTGACAGCAGTTAAATCTGCAGACACAGCTGTGATGTGCTGCAGTGGTTGTTGCTGCTGGTGTGACCAGTGATTGGGATGTGCCATATGATGTGCAGTAACCAAGGCAACCAGGCGAGTCCTTCACGGAGAAGGTAAAGGTAATCTGCATCTTCACATTCAAATCATCTGGAGCTGCTGAGGTTTGAACTCCTTTCCCTGCATCCTCTGCTTCTTTTTTAAAGAGCCGTTCACCTTTATGTACATGTGTCTGTTGTACATGCATCACTAGATGAATGCGGGAAGTAAATTTTATACAGATAAATATCTAGATTTTTATTGTAGATTGTAAAATAGCAGCTCTGGTGAAGCTTGTTGGTCCTGTGATTTGGTAGATACTTGGGTTTTGTTCCTGGTTTAAAAACTATAAAATTACTGAAAACAGATCAAAATACAAACTCATCAATATCAAATTAAAACACATCTACATATAATATTAAGATAAGGTGTTACTTAAAAACATCCACAGATTTACCACTGAATGCAAAGAAACCCACTTGTTAAATTATATGATTTAAAATCATGATGCAACAAGTGAAATGATTTGGCAAACTGAAAAAAATTTTTTTTTACATTAAGAGAAACTAAAACAAAATAGCCCATGGTTTCAGTACAAATAATGTACTTTAAATTTTGCACAATTGTTAATATTTGTGCTTCCCCAAGTGGCAGCTTCAGGAAATCTAAAATGCAGTGACTGAAATACTGAATTGGTGCTTTAAATGTTTTCTGCTCAGTTTGTACAACTCTGGCCTTTTTGTGCACTGACGTTCTCACCAGCCAAGACCAGACAACCACAGAGGAACCCAGCTCGTCTGAGCCTCTGCCACAGAGCTGTCAAAGCACCACACACACACACCACCACAAAATCACATTTTCCTTTCAGCACAGCAGGACATAAAGGCACATGCGGGTGACAGTCTAACCTCTACCACCAATCAAACCAGCCCCCATCTTCACCAGGCAAACACAGTCTCGCCTCACAGCCACATGTTCCTACTGTTGTAGTCGAATACATTCTTTGTTCTTTAACAGCTTTTGAATAAAGATCTTTCAGACGCAGCAACTGATATGAGGTTTGTCTACTTTCCCCTAATGAGCTGTGAACACAGTGCTGCATTCTTTGTAAAGATATCGGGTGTGATCCAAAGAGTATCACCGCCTCTGCCTACATCTCTCCCCAAGATCCTCTGTGACGATATGCTAGCTGGGAAACACACTGAAAAAATACACCAAAGACTACATAAACAATGATAGAGAGAAACATATTCATCAAGTTCACTGTAAGAAATAACAGCCACAGAGAAATTCTTCACTTTCAGAGAATATCATAATTCACTACAATACAGATTTCTGAATATGAGCTTCGCTATGCTACGCCAAATATACTCAAAAGACATTGCAAGGACCGCTGGGATCTACTTGAACAATTTCTATCTCACTATGTCAGTAGGAGGCACAAAGTTCAACACTGGGACTGTCACTGTTTTAGAGGAGAGACGGAAAGTAAAGTAAAACTGATTACAGTTAGTGATTTTCTATCAGCAAAACAAACTGATTCACTGAACTTGATGTCTGGGACTCGCTGGCAGAACATCACTTTGTAGTTTGCTGCTGGCTTTAACCCTGTGTGCAAACTTGTGTTTTTATTTGGGCCAATTAGAAGATGAGCAGCCAAGCGCCAGCTTTGAATGGTTTCTCTTGTGATGTCATTTACAGAAATAGCTTGTTTCTCTCTTTTTTTTTTTGCACAGTACAACGGGCGTGTTGTCTCAGCCCATAAACAAAGAAGCTCTGTCTGACAAAAAACAAGGTAAAGGACAGAAAAACTGCATTCTTCCTTATACAGGACTGAAGAGTGGCATGTAGTGGAAGACAAATAGCTGTCAGAAAACTACCATTGTAATAGAAATGGTGATCACCACGACGAGCTCATAATGGATTAAAAAACTAGAAAAAAATTGTTATCCAGATCTGTTTCAGCTTTTGGGCAAATGGCCACCCAAGCACCCAAAGCAGAGACAGATGTGCATATCAGGCTATAGAGAATAGCAATTAAAAACAGATCTAGACTGGGGAGACCAGAGAGGAGACGAGGATCTTAAAACTCAATCTTGCAGGCGGGGAAGGACTCATCCTGCATGACGACAGTGCTGCTGGAGGCCAGGACCATGATGTTGAGCTCCTGCTGCCTCTCATGCGTCTGCTGGTACCAGTCTCGGGTCACCTCTGTGTCGTGGGTGGGGATCAGTGTCACCTGAGAAGGAGACAAGACACCAGGCAATGTCACCACTGATGAAGCTGAGACACGTGCAGGGAGGGGTGTGACAAAGGCAGGTGAAAAGACGAGTCCAGTCCAATATGATAAATGGACTGTATCTGTATAATCACACCTTTTATTGGCCAAGTATGTTACACACAAGGAATTTTGTTTCCGGTACAGAACTGAGGCAGCCATCTGCGGCGCTAACGCAACCGAGGGCTCTAACCATCGGGGGCAACGGGGGGGTTCAGTGTCTTGCCCAAGGACACTTCGACATGTGGACTGGAGGCACCAAGATTCGAACCTTCAATCTTCCGGTTAGAAGATGACTGGTCGCCTCCCCCTAAACAAGGTACAGTGTCTTGACAGGGAGGTGAACCGGACCAACCATTCCGCAGTCAGTGGCTTTAATCACTGTGCTAACACATGTTGTAAAGCGCTTTTCTACCTTAACAAAGTGGTTTAGAATCTAGAACAAACACACACAAACCAACAAAACGCTGGCAAAGACAGAACCCCCACCTGTGGAAGATGTAATAAAAGCAGTAAGACCACTTACAGTCTTGACTGACTGCTTTAGTCCACCCATACAAATGCAGTATTGAGGGCTTGGCCAGCAGGTGGCACCAGTTTTGACTGAGTCAAACGCTTTGAACTACTGAACTACAACTGCTTCATTTGGATCCAGTGCTTCAGACAGTCCTATTTCATTGTCTAAACCAGACTGCTGAAGCCTCATATTAACTTCAGACACATTTTGGAATGTAATTAATGCACAATTATGTCCGTTTTGTCCCCAGTCACTTACAGTGGCAGTTCTTCTGGGTCTTTTAATGGCCAGTGTGACCAGGAAGAACAAAATATTAACGTTTTGTTTCACTTGTCAAGAGCTGGTTGATTTGAATAAAATATTGCCTGCTGATAAGCTGTAATATTGATGTGCATATTTTACAGATTTTTGCTTAGTGTAAGAGCTAGTCTAGAGTATTTATAACTTTGAGCCTTGATGTGAACATAAGTGTGCTCACTCACGCCTACCTCTGTCCTCAGGGAAACGGCAAATCTCAGACTTTGCCCACTTAGTTTTTGCCTCACTATCAAGACAAGGGTGTCAGTTTCAGTCTACTAGCTCTCTCCACACTGGAGTCCTGTTTCTCTGATGGAAATACAACACAGCCAAAGTTCTTTTCCAGCTGTCACTGTTATTGTAATGCACATATATCTTTTAAATTTTCACTATGAAGTGTCTTTATGCACATATGCCTTAGCAAAACTGCTAATATTCTCCCTTGGGATATTAGCAGCCCATGATTGTTTGTCCTGACTGTTTTGAATCAAAAAGTATGTCTGTTATTTGTGTTTAGTGTTCACTCTGGTTCCAGCTTTAAAAGTATGAACTACTCTTTTAATGTCTCAATGTAAATGTTATGGACTGTGTTTCGAGGTGATTAGCCTCAGCACTCTGGGTGAATGCTTTTAGTATTCATTTATTATTTTTATTATTTCTTTATTTTATGCATGGATATGGTTATGTTGTTTTGTAGCATGTGACAGTTGCTTTAGTCTGCTTACATCTGTAAGAATGGTTCAGCTTTTCCCTAGCTAATACAGTCCTTTGGGGCAGGATGTGTGAGGGTTTGTTGGTTAACAATGTTTTGCAGAGCAGCAACTGGTAAAACATTATCTGTGAACAATGAGATAAAGAAAACATGATTATGTCCATCCCTCTGATTTACACAGTGCAGACACTTCATGGTGCAGTGGTGCAAACAAGCTAACTAGCTACCTGGAGGTTCGATCCCCACTGAGCCTTGCCCTCCAACAGTGCATCCAGCACCACTCGGCCTGGTTCACCACTTGCTGCGTCGTTCCCGCTCACCACATAGTACGCAGAGCGAATGCGTTTGAAAAACTCTTGGTCCACGTTCTTGGCACTGCAGTGGTTGGGAATGTAGGCCAAGTCCACATAAATAGGAAGGCCAGGAGCAGCTGGAGAGCCAGGCTTCTGAGAACCTGGGTGAGAGAATGAAAGCAAACTGTCACTATGTGCAAAAACATTTATCTGACAGTCTCTTTTGTAGAATTAAATACCATTGATATATAAATAAAGGCTAAAAGATCTTTTGAGTGAACTCTACTCACCTGAACTGCTCTTGAGCCCATTGGTCAGCCCCCTGCCAGGGTTGTAACTCGACCTGGAAAGCTCGTCATCTTTGGAGCCTTGTCCATCTGACAAACGAGACATACGTGAGCTCTTGTCTGCCTCCTTCTTCTTCAGCAAGGCAGTGTGAGGAGACGGTGTCTGTTTGACAGGCATGGGAGACCTCTTGCGCCTAGCTGGGGATGCTGATTTAGTTTTCCCAGAGGCTTTCTTTAAGCCCTTTGCTTTTAGCTCTTTCTTAGCCGAACCATTAACCACAGAATCCGGATCCACCATGCAAACATCTGGCCGTGGGGAGTGAGGATGAGGGTCCATGAGAGGAGCAGGAGGGGGGTCATGGCTCCTTCTCGAGGAGTGAAGGCTGCCTCCGCCCATGGCAGATGATTTATCAACAGGCAAGTAGTCTGCATCCTCATCTGAGTCCATGTGTCCTTCACCAGTGACTGAGGGGTATTCTTCAGTGCCTGGGGGCATATCAGAGTCTGACTGAGAAGCTAGAGACTCGCTGACGGAAGTGGGGGGCGTGTCCTCTGTGGCCAGACCCAGCCCTGCAGACATGCCGCCAGCTTGGTGCAGAGAGCTACTGTCCCTGCTGAGAAACTCATGGTGATGGGGGTGTTTGTGAGCCCTTCTCTTCACTGACAGGTCATGCTCATCATCCTGCTGCGACTGGTCACTTCTGCATCCTTGCTCCTCATCATCCTCGTCACTGGATAACTGCCGCATACTTGGGTTGATAAAGGAAGGTGAGAGGTCCTCTTTGCGCTGCCTGTACTCTGAGGAGGAATACCCAGGAGAGGTGCGGCTGGTATAAGAGGAGGTAGCCCCCATTGGTGCCTCTCCAGCGAGATCATGATCGCTGTCGTCATCGTCATCCTGCCCTTCATTGCTGCACTCCTCAGCGTAGAATGGTGAGTGGAACGGCTGATCGGTTGTAGAGAGTGAGAGTGGGCGGGCAGGGTGCTCTGGTTCCATCTCACACTCCTCTTCAAACTCATCATCATGACGGTAATGGGGCGGGGAGTCCCCAGGCACCATGCCCATCTGGGGCTTTGGCATCTCCCACTCATAGGAGCTCCTGTAAACCGCTGCTTCCTCTCTGGGCTCCACCTTGGCTGGACCTGGAGCTGCACCACTGGCTGCTGCTCCAGCAGGGAGGGCAGAACTTGTGCTGACCTCTGTCGGGCCATTAGCTGTATCTGGCTTGCTGGCCTGGAGAGGTAAGGGAATGTAGGAGCCAAGAACATCAGAGGTTGCACCGCCTGGCTTTTCACTGGCAACTGGAGAAACAGGCTTGTCAGAAAAAGGGAGGCTAGCAGCCAGGCAACTGGAAGACCTCTGACTGATCTCACACATGTAAGCCTCTTCATCCTCTTCTTCACTGCTGTCAGTCTCCTCAAAGTAATGCTTGCCTTCTGTGTCTGGGCGTGGTGAGGAAGTGACACCAAACAGAGCAGCGCTGGCTGCCTCTTTGTCCTTGGAGAGCACTGAAGTGTGAGAGAATGGTCCTGCTGAGGCCCCATATCCAACAGCAGTGTCCAGCTTGGATGCTTCAGCCCATTCAGGCTTATAGAAACAATCAGACTGAGGTCCTTTATCTGTCACGCCACTTCCTGAAGTCGTATGCTCCTTCTTGTCATCAGCAAAGGCAGCGGAAGTGAGAGGGGGGAAAGACTTGACCTCCTCGAACGGGCTGAGGGGTGAGAAACGAGCCAAGCTGGAGGTGGACTCAGCCATGGTTGTAGTTGTGATTTGTTTCTCAGACACTTCCAGATAGTCGTCTTTGGCAGCACCGTAGCTGGGAAAGGGAGAATCCATGCCAAGCGAGTGTTCATCTTTAAAGGAGGAGTACTCAAAGAGAGGTTCGGCAGAAGCAGGCGTCTCCAGCTCCTCTCCAAACTGGCGGCTGGTGGAGAGTGAGCCTGAGGTGGAGGAGGAGTAGCTATAGGCTGAAGAGGAGGAGAACCCAGGGGCAGCAGTAGTTGTGTACTGGAAGCCGGCATCCAGTGACTTCTTATTCAGAAGGTCTGGTGTCTTCTGTTTCTCAATATCTGAATCAGCTCTGTCACTGTGGTAATAACTGTCCTCTGTTGATTTCAGCGTGAACTCCTCTTTACCTTTGTCTGCAGTCTGGCCTGATAAGAATGAACCTTTCTCACCACTTTCATATGAGTATTCAAACCCTGAGGAGTAGCCAGAGAGACCTGTAGCTCCTAAATCCACTGGCTTTCCACTGATGGGTGAGGACTCAACCTTAGCTTCGCCTTCAGGCTCTGTAAGCGAGCTCCTTTCTTTCACACTCGGCTTCCCTTGACTGTCATAGCCATATCCAGCCATGGAAACCATAAATTCAGGCCTATTGGAGCCAAACATGTCACTGATTGGACTTGTCACTTCCTTCTCAGACCTCTCTGTGGCACCTTTCTCCATATCGGAATCAACAGCACCCTCATCATCATCCTCCTCTTCTTCTTCCTCCTCCTCATCTTCATCAACTACTTCATCATCATCGTAGTCCTCCTCATCTCTTGCTGTAAGTTTTTGCAGATCAACCTTCAAGCTCTCTCCTTTGTCGCTGAAGCCTGTTGCAGTATAAAAAGGAGTTTGAGAGGGGTATGTCTGGGGCTCAGTACTGCCACTCTGGTCTTTCCTTGCTGATAAAGAAGTGGACAAGGCCTCAGGTCGATCAGCCACTGATGGGAGCCCTCTACCTGCGCTGCATTCAGTCTCCTTTTCTTCAACCTCCTTCTCAAACGGGGGTACAACAGAAGTGCTGGAGCCATGACGACACTTGCCCATACGAGATGGGAGATTCCTCCCTTTCTGTCATCTTGTCTGTGGCTGCTGCCGAGGAGTGGGGCTCATGTTTATGCATATCCATTTCACCCTTTGCAACGTCCTTGTCCAGCTTATCTTCGGACTCCTGATGAGATGAATCGGAGTCCACTGAGCTGGTTTTACTGTCATAAATGTCGCCGTAAGAGAATGTTTTGCCATGCACGTAGGGTGTGTCTTGTCTTATGTACAAGGCCTTTTCTTTGCTCTCCTTCTCTGGAAAATGATACAGACTGAAATGAACACTTTTCTCAGGCTCTTCATAGTCTACTTTGCTTTTATCTGGTGAAAAGGGCTTAGACCCCACCCCACATGGGAACTCATCATCTTTTTCACCTTCATCATCATCTGAGTACATCACCTGAACTTTTGGTTTCTCCTCTGTACTAAAAGACACCTGAGTCTTATCGGAGCCCTTGACTTCTGTTTCTGTCTTTTCAGATTCCACCTCAAAGGTGTAGTCATCATCCAAGAAGCAGCCCTCTTTTGCCTCCATAAGCTTTGCCTTAACAGTTGGCTGTAGATCCTTTTTGGTGTAATAGTCATCTTCATCCTCATTGTCTTCATCAGATTCTTCAGATGCTTCAAACACTGTCCTGTCCCCTGGCAGACCGATAACGGAGGTATTGTCTGAAATTGTGACTGATTTCTCTGTTTTCTGGGTGTCGGCTTTAACATGGGTCACCATCTCATCTTTGTCTCCCGTCTTAAAGGGTTTCTCATCAGTTGGAGAGTAGCCACTGCTAGTAGGCACAGACTGTGTGGGTGAGGCCAGTTTCATGGTGCTGTCATCTGGACTTGGACATCTTTCCTCACTCTCCTGTCTGGAGTGGGACTCTAAACCAGGGGAGAAAGCTGGAGGAGGTGAAACAGGCATTAGTTCACCACTGGTCTTGAATCCCTCTGTGCTGAAAAGAGACTGGTTTTCTTTGAAAGCCTGTGTGGGAGAGAGGGAAGGAGGAGAAAATGTGGCAGAGGGAGATTTCTGCTTCTCCTGGAGCAGCATGTAGGTTGCATGCTCATAGCCCTCTTGGAGTTTACTCAAAGGGATGTCAACGTTCGGAGTCTGGTCCTCATCCTCCTCGTCCTCGTCTTCTTCTTCTTCATGAGCCGATTTGATCTTTGCATCACCCTCCATCTCAGGAATATTGGGCTGGTACTCATCAGAGGAAGGAGACTTAAAGCACTTGTCATCCTCCAGAGAGGAGGTGGGCGAAATGGTACCTGCTGAGTGGAGATAGTCCTTTCCTTGAGCGGCCTCTGCACGTGAAGGAATGCTGCTGATGGCGTCCAGCAGGAGCGAGTTCCTCCCGGCTTCCTCGGTCTGAGGCGCTGTCACTGAGGCTAGTGACTGGTCCTCGGCCACAGACGTGGCAAAGGAGGACAGCTTGTCATATTCTGTGATGGATGTTGCTGAGGAGATGTGCTCTTCCTCTGCAAGAGGAGCAGCAATGATGGCAGGGTAAGGTGCAAGCTCAGACTCGTGACCTCCCATGAATGTTTTGGGTTTGACATCAGCAACATCAGACACAGCAGAACTCTTCATCTCTTTAATTCCATGCATGGAGTCAAAGGTGCCAGGGACGTCAGGAACGGAGACATCATAGGAGCCCACATCATAGCGCAGCTGCGGGATCCTGTCCTCTGCATCTTCATGGATCTCCTCGTCAGAGATGGTCTGTTCAGTCTCAGAGTACCCGGGAATAGTCTCGTCCTGGATGAAGGAGAACTGCTCGGAGGCTGCTGCCGCTGCTTGTTCCGCCAGGGCTGTGATTGATACAGGTTTCTGTTCAGTTGGCTTGGTGTCCCACTCCTTTCCAGTTTTCTCCTTTTTTGCCTCCTCTGTTTTATATTTCAGAACCTCGTCATCTTCTGTTCCTTCAAGTTCAGCTTTTTCAATTACATCGCCCTCCTCCTCTGAGCTGTCACTCTTCTTTGATCTTTCTTTGGTGCCGTCCTTTACAGGGTATTTGTCATATTTCTCCATTTTCTCCTCTTCATATTTCTTGTCAAACTCATCAACTGCATCCTTCTTCTCAGTGGCAAGACGCTGTCCTGGCATGTGCTTGTCTGTGTTGTCTTCTTCCTGTCTGATGGGGGATTTGGGTGAAGTTGATTTTATCTCCGTATCTGGAGAGGTGACTTTCTCATCAGGGAAATCAAAGGGAGAAACTTTAGTATCTGTGTAATCATTCTGGATTGGCTCAGTCTTCAGGGTGGACAGCTCTTCTTGTTTTAGAGCCTCAAAGTCCTCAGTGAGGTCCTCGGGGGAGGACACAATGGACCTGTCTGCCAAAGCTGCTGCTGCAACCTCTTCGGGGACATTCTTTGGGACCGGCTTTTTCTCATTTGCTGCCTCTTTAACAGCTTTATTTTTGTGTGTTTTTGGCTTCGTCTGAGTCTTGGCCTTGTGCAGAGTTTTTCTCACTTCTGGTGTGAGCGGCTTCAGATCAGGTTTAGTGATTTTTCTCAGCTCCGGTTTACTTGGGTCTTTCTTTTTGTCCTCCTTGGACTTGCTGTCTTTTTTCTCTTCTTTTCTCATATTGTCATCTTTCTTTACTTCACGTTTCTCTTTCTTGATTTCCTTCTTCTCTTTGTCTTTCTTTTCATCCATCTTGGATGCTTTCTCTTGCTTGCCACTTTTTTCCTTGGATATTTTCTTCTTCTGTGCCACAGGGGCCACCTCACTGTTTTTCTGCTGTTTGGTGGCTTTTAGACTTTCACTTTTGACTTTTTTCTCTTCTTTCTTTTCTACTCTATTCTCTTCACTCTTTGACTCTTCCTCCTGCCCACTGCCTTCTTTCTTTGCTGTTTTAGGGTGCGGTTTGGGTGAAGATTTGAGACTCTCTTTGCTCTCAGTTCTTGATCTTATTTTGGTCTGTTTGATGATGGGAGGTGGTGCCCCAGACAATATGTCTTTTTGTGTTGCCACTGGATATCGCAGGAAGTCCAGGTGTTTTAGTTTCTCCAGCCCCTCAAAGATTTTATTCTGCGGTGCATTTCCTGGGAACAGCACCCTGACTATCTTTTCTGTAGTACGGTGAGGAATCCAAACAATGAGAGCAGTGACTGATGTCAAATAGGGGACAGATATTTCTCCTTCTTTTCCATTGGGCATCATAATGCCTGTCTTGGCTTTGCTGTTTCCAGCCCACTTCTGCATTAGAAACTGCATCTCTTTGCTTTCTTTTACAGGGTTTAAAACATACATGTCTAGTTTTCCCACACCAAGTTTGTGGAACAGTGTGATAGGCTCTATAGTGTTGCTGACGACCCTGTGAAGTGGCTCTGGCCTGATACCAAGCTTGTTGAGGTACTGCAGTGTCAGAGATGCTTCCTCAATGCTTCGCTTCACCTTCAATGTGGACTCAGGCATCAGAAGCTTCTCTGGGACATTGAGAAACACAATCCCAAGCTCGGGAGAAATCAGGTTCTTCATCCATTCACCACTGCTGCTGGAGCCAGTTCCTTGGTTCCGCTCCTCCTCCTGCTCGGCAATCTTTCTCTGGAACAACCCATTGATGCCCGGAAGATTGTCTGCCCCAATGTGGGTGAGCAGAACAGAGTCGATCCGATCCAGGTGGCGAACCAGCTTCCAGAAGCAGGACTTCCGCTCAGACCCTCCATCCACCAGGATGTTGAATCCATTGACAGCAAACAAGGCAGAGTCTCCCCTGCCTCCAGGAAAGATGTAACAGCAGGGTTTGGACAGCTTCAGAAACCCTCCAGAGTTCGGGGGCTCCAGAAGGTCAAAGGGTGATGGCACATCCACAGTCTCCGACACATACTCGGTGAACTCTGTGACTCCATCCATGTCGGGAAGGTGGGGTTCTGGGTTCAGGCAGTATTCCAGAAGATTTTGGAGTGGCTGTTGCTCCTGGCTTTGGCCCAGGGAGCTCCAGCCTCCGTCTCCCTGACAGGAAACAGTAAGCCTGGAGTGCTGCTCTGAAGACGCCCTGGACAGGACTTCAGTCACCTGAGAAAAAAGTAAGAAGAAAAAAAATAAGAATAGCTGTGCCTTTATAATCCCAAGTGGATCCACACACAGGCACCATAACAAAGTGTTTGGAGACAAAATGCACTGGACTTACTTGCGGGTCAGATATGATGTCAGAGAAGTGTTGCCAGGTGAAGGCTCCACCTTGCAGTTGGATGTCACCTCCCTGCTCAGAGCTCTGGCCGCTCAGTATCAGCAACTTATTCCCAGCAAGGTCAGTGATCAGTGAGCGGATCTAGGTAGAGGACAGAATAAGCACTTTAACCGCTGCTAACATTAATATTTAAAATCTTCCATACCAACATCAAAAAGCCAAATGTGCAGAAAAGATGGAAAATCTCTGTGGAGTAGCCAAAGAACAAAGCTCTACATCATCTCACATGCATCATGAATGCACTGAGCTCAATGTGTCTTTTGATTTGAGTGCTATTGAGTTTGAGAGAGAGTTAATTTTTTCCGTAATTGCTGTCACCCTGACAACGCTGAGCCACCGAGTGATAATAACACTTCTGAATGATGAACGGCGAGTGAAGAGAAGAGAAACAGCTTTCAAATCAAACCAAATACTGCAACACAAAGAGTACCTGACTAAAGGTCATTTTTTTAAGAAATGCTCAGATGCCAAATATAAATATAATAGTCTAAAATTATTCCTTCAAAGGACTGAAACACCACAGAGGGGGATAAATATCTCCGGCTCAACACCAGTCAGTCAGAACTGATGAAGCCTCTTGGATGAGAGGTGAAACGTCTTCAAGCTAGAAATCTAAGTCCAGTTGATTTTTTCTACGTTTTTTCAGTTTACTATGACCTGGATGACTGAGAATCTGCACAGACATATTCCTGGAAAAGTTTCTCCTCCTGCAGTCACTGTCGCACCAACCCAAAATAGAATGTTTAATGTTAAAAGTTTATTTTAGTCTCAGCAGCATCTTGCTCATCGCACCAATGCCCTCCCATAGTGATTTTTCCATGCACTGATGTATAAATTTCCTACTTGCTATCTTAGCTTTATCTGCTTCTTATGTGAGCTGTTCACGTTTTCCTGTGAGATCAGAGGCAGCAGCAGCTCTCGGCAGGTCGGTGTGTCATACGTATCGCCTCTAAAACCAGAGTTCTGATCTGAACGTGCAGTGAGCTTCAGCATAGCATCGCTGGCACTGCTGTGTATATGTCGTTTCTACAGTATGTGTTTTTGTTTTTTCATAACTCAGCTTATATACAGAATATAACTCAACACGACAGTCCTCACTGTCAGCTGTGACTTTATAGCTTCTTTGTGGTGTCCACGTTCAGGGGCAGTTAAATAACATTTGCTGTACATTAAAAAAGGGATTTCAATTTTAGCACCAATTTGAATAAAAACAATCTGGAGTTTTCTTATAATTCATGCATATAGAGGCTGGACAAAAACAGTAAGGAAACTACAAATTTAACCTTTTTCAAAATGTATTAGTTACTGGAGTTATATTTTTTTAAAGCACATATTTAACTAATGCTAACACTGTCAGGCAACTCTGAGGTGTCTGAGTGAGTTTATTTATAGGTAGATTATCAAGGAAGTGTCTGTGTCTGACACTGTGAGGCTTCAGCTGAGAGTGACAAAGTCTCTTCCTGTTAATTAAAAGAGTGATGGACCTCCCGCTGCAGCTAAATGCTCTGGGTTTGAACCCAAAGTCTGAACTCTTATGCCTTAAACAACTCTGTGTGATATAAACAAAAGTACAGAAGTGTCCTGCAGGAGCATCAGCGCATTGCTCTGTCATGTTGTCCAAGCGGGACTCACCTCTGAAGCAGCGGCCTCCTCTGATGGGTTCACCAATACCACTGTCTGGAGGACACCACTCTGATACTGGAGAGTCCGCTGACCTTCAGGAAACAGAAAGAACCCTTGTGACAAGGGGAAAAAGACAGAGGCTTTTCCCTAATATTTTTCTTATTACAGAAAAAAAAACACATTTATTGTTTAATGAGAATCATTATTAGGATACAGACAGAAAAAAAATGTAACTACTACAAAGTTACTGGTTATTTTGGGAAGCACTGTAGCCACTGTCCTGCATGATCAGTGTTTTAACCCTGTACTGACTATTATACTTACCTGAGACTGATTTTATTTCCCTTCAAATGACTTGGACCTGACATTTTACAGCAGTGTGAACAGACCAGGCCAGATGTCCTCAGACCAGATCTGAGCCACCTGCGTATGTGCTCCTAGACCCGATTCCTCTCCGACCTCTGACTGAGCGCTGTCAGAACGGTCAGATCAGAATCCATGTGGTCATTTTAACGTCTCCTCCTCTGCACATATGGCCTGTCATCATCATTCGGCATCGGCCCCTCACAGACCAATAACAATAAACATGGAGGAGAGTGATGATGGAGACGGGGTCAGTGGAGAGACCAGGATGTTTGACATGTGGTGGAAGTTTATGGAGAAGCTTCTGATCAGGCCAAACTGGACGGAACATATCGTAACCCAGCGGTTTGGGAGGAAACTGTGCGATTAGAGGGTCGCACACATGACCAAGTTGTTGTTCTTGTGCGCACGCGGCTCACATTTCAGTTACATCTGTGCATGTGTGGCAGTTTAAGAGCTCAGTGACATCACTTACTCATATGGATGTGAAGCATCAGAACAAACGATGAGCAATAAGGCCTGTGATGTGAATGCTTTATTACCTGAGCCATCACATGTCCTGTGGATTTGTTGGTGGTCTTTGATTTTACCTGTGTATACATTCACTAGTGTCAGTTCTGTTTGTGTTATTTAATAGTGTCTTTCACCTCACGTCTTCTGGTTGTTGTTACAAAAGTCCTGTTAACTCTACTTGTCCAAAGTCTGCATCTGGGTTCTTGATTTTCTCAAAACATCACACAAAGCTGGTTTGTAAGATAGAAGCTTCAAAGTCCTGTCTGACCAGGATCCCTTACTGATAATGTATTGCGCTACCTCCCAGCATTTGTCAACACGGTCACCCTCTATGTGCACATATAGCTGTGCATGAGCATCCTCAGCCCCACCCTGTCTTCTCTTTTGCTCACTTGTCATTTTCTGCCTCCACTGGCTGTAACTAAAGCCCCCCCACTGAGATAATCCTCCTCTTTTCATATACAACCCTGACAATATGCAAAAAGCAAAATCCCTCAGCCTCAGTGGCTGTTGCTATGGGGACGCTCTGGCTGTTTTCGCTGTTAGACGAGTTACACTGACCCACTCTGGCTGAGGGAGACGCATTGCAGCATTTCTGCAAGAGGGCGGGGAGGCCTGTGCTGCATGAGAGTAGGCACATAGCACAGGAGGTGAAGGCGAGTGTCAAACCAGCAGCGTCGTCAGCATGGAAGGCGCTTCATCAGGTGGATCTATATTTAGAAAGGAAGATGTTCCTGGCATTCCTCCACCTCAGAAATGTGAAGGAGGCTGTTTACTAAAACTCTGCTTTCCCTGCTGAAACATAGAGGCACAGGCAATGAGGGGTGAGCAAGCAGGAATTACATGCCTTAAGAGAGGTCGTTCATTAACAAGCCGCAGTTGCATGAGACACCAACAATGGTGGGTCGTTCATTAACAAGCCACAGTTGCATGAGACACCAACAATGGTGGTGACTTGCATTGTAACAGTTTTATCAGCATCTTGGGGAACGTATGAGCCGACGGATTTGTGCAAGCTAAGCCAACGTTACATCAGCAACATGTTTAATAGGTAAACATACTGGCTCAGTTTATGGATGTTTTACTGTCACGTTATTTTCTGAAGTGCATTAAAAATCTGATCATTCACCATATGCAGCATGAACACTAGTTGAGAGCAACTAGCTAATTAATAGTGGCATTCAAGTTTTCATCAACATAGTGGAAAGGATACAAAAGAAGACTCCTCACTCATTTTCATGAGATTCTGGACTTTGCACACATTTTCTTAATCTGACTAAAAATGACCAGTGGCTGGTGCTTTTCTTCTGCCAACTATACCTCGAATTTCTGTATTTTAATGATGAGTTTCATGTCTTTACTCCAATCACTGGAGATCTTCTGAAACCTGAAGAGCTTCAGGCAGGTGTGCCTGTTCACAGTGACAGAAACTGTCCAGACTGTAGCTGCATTTACTGACAGCAGTGGCCCTGGATATGGCAGTAACCAGTACCAAGATGGAGTCCACCGCGGCTAAGGCTAGGAGTTGTGTGCCAAAAATACCTTATCAGTACCTTTGAAAAACAACATGGAAGCATCTACAGTACGGTTCTGAGGGGACAAGGTAAACTGCACCTGCTGAGAGAGATCATGTGATTTGATCAAAAGGTCCAGACAGCTACAGGACAGCTATGTTTCCAAGGTCAAGGATGAACTTTCAGTCTTAGTACAATCCTTTAGCCTGTGTAATTTGTCATTTCATTTGCTGCTCAAAATAAAACCTGTGCAGAACAAAAGCCTCCCTCCACACTTGAAAATCTCAGTGAGCTGTGTAACAGTGAGTGGGTGTTTCCAGGATTAAGGAACAAATCGAGAGCAGGGCATTACTCTCTCGTGCCTCTGGTGCATGATGGGAAGCAGTTTGGAGCCTCTACTGTCTGAAGTGGCAGCGCCATGTCTCCTGCCCGCTCGGCATCAAGAAGTGGCCACAGCTTCACATGCTCAAACGCCACCGGCGACCAAGACAGGTATCAGCTGTGTGTTTGTTTGTTGGTGAAAGTAGACCTGCACCATATATGTTGCTTTGTGTGAGTCCACATGACAGCATTCTCCAACTGCAGTGGTCAAACATAAGAGAGGAAGCATTGCCTGCAGTGATTCAGTATTTCCACAGCTCAAGAATATGTGAGGAAGAAAAGCAGAGCCCTGACACAGAGACTGTAATCCACTGTGAGAACATGAAATGCAACTCCACACCACTCGTTCGTTTTCACACCTCTGCCAACACCGGGGCTCTGAATGATACCAGAAGCCAAAGTGTCGAACGTATTTTTAACCAAAGTGAACAGCAGCAAACTCACTCAAGCTGCCAAAGACTCTTTTGGCCACAGAAGCTCTTGAGAACAGACTAATTAGGTGCTACTCATTCGGTCCCCAGCTGGCTGCAGCTACGCTACGGTTCCTTCGTAACAAAGGCAATAAGTTCTGACTGGTCAGAGCCATAGAGGGGGTTGTTAGTCACAACAGCTGAATATTCACCATGCTGTAATTATAACCACATAAAACAGGATTTATTATATGTATATGAACACTCAATTTAATGGTGTTTACTTTAGTCAGCTATCTAATTATACTTCTTTTTTTTTTACATTTTAAACCATATGTTCCATATTAATGCCTGTCAGTTGGTACACCTCCTCCAGAATGAAATGCTTTTAAAGATTACTGAGCACTGAGACAGATATTGAGGGTGGATACTGCTCACGTTGGTGACTATACTGAGAGGTATCTCTGTTTTTTTTTCCTCCCCAGCTACATAAAGGAGAGGGTGCAGAATATTAGGAACACCTCTGAATATAATGTAGTCTAGTACAACACCACCTTTAACTGAGTTCAATAATAAAAATGTAATTTATACATTTGACAGTTTCACCAAAAAGCAAACGTTTTGAGCTTCATAAACACAGATGTTAAGGTGGAAGTGTTGCACTGAAGTGCATACTACCAGTGTACCTAATAAAGTGGCCACTGAGTGTATATGTGTGCAGCAGTAATACAGTAACTGCAGAAAATGAAATATTAAAGTGAATCCAAGCAACAGCGAGTTATATAAAGCACCCCAGTGTATATTTCCTCAGAGGGTGTAGCTGTGATTTGTACGTGCTGTTTTCACTGTCACTTGGATCAACACTGACGGTGAAAACAGCCGTATTCAGGTGAACCTTGAGGGAAATAACCAGAGGGCTGATGCTGCAGCAGCGGCATGGTTTTATTAGCTGCTGCAACCAACTGGCTCGTATAAAGGTTGACTTTAATGGAACTATAAACTTGTAATGATAAACAGTAGACATTCTGTAGATATTTACAAAGATGTAACTCAAGATATTTAATGAAGAAACTACAATTTGGATTTTATTTGAATGGCTCCAGTATTTTCTAAACCTGTGTTTAATTCCAGGCTGTTTTACTCCAGGAAAGGCCCATAAGTGAACATGGTCATGACTGGCTGTTAGGTCATCATCTAAGCACTTCATAAACAGTTCCGGTTCCCTTGCCCTGAAGTCAGTGGGGTTTTTGGACAGACACCTGAAATAAGTTCTGTGGTCAACACAAGGTCAGTACATTTTCACATTTTGCTCTGTAACAGAAAATACACCAGTAATGTTTTTATGTGTCTTAAAGGTGGTTGCTAACAAGTGACTAAATGAGGCTACAGAGGCTGTCTGGGCTATTACCCATCATCACGAAGACTCATTTCCTCACTAATCGGTCTTTACAGCCCCGTTGTGTTTAAACTTGTGTACTTGCAAACTATTCTGACTGACACAGCTATGATCGCTAGATCAGGTCAGGCTAAGAGGAAAGGATCCTGTAAGTACGCTAAGTCAGCTTACAAGCTGGAAGCCATGGAGGTGACGATGAAGTCATGGGGCCGTGGTGTTTATAGCCCAACAATAGATTTTTATTTCTGGAAATTGTATTTGCGCTACAAAAATTGTAAAGTGACGTTCACTTGTAAAAATTATCTTGCTGACAAAACGTGTACGTGTCAAACCGTTGTTTGTCACAGAGCTTATTTTCTGCAGTGATCCAAAAGCCTATGAAAAAATCCCATTGGCTTTTTGTCAAGGGAACCAGGGCGATGCCAACTTCTGGGTTGACCTACAAGAATACATCCCTATGGCGCTCTATTGCTTCCAGTGGAGAAGCCAGTGTCCTGCATGGTAGCATGCTGCCA